AGGAATTATAAATGATAAAGAATGCTAATTCAGATATAAAATCGATATTTTTTTGAAAATAGCCTACTATGATCAAAAACCAAAAAATGCTTAAATTGCATTTTAAAACATATCTAGGTATTATAAATGATAAAGAATGCTAATTCCGATATAAAATCGATATTTTTTTGAAAATAGCCTACTATGATCAAAAACCAAAAAATGCTTAAATTGCATTTTAAAACGTTTCTAGGAATTATAAATGATAAAAAATGCTAATTCAGATATAAAATCGATATTTTTTTGAAAATAGCCTACTATGATCAAAAACCAAAAAATGCTTAAATTGCATTTTAAAACACATCTAGGAATAACAAATGATAAATAATGCTAATTCAGATATAAAATCGATATTTTTTTGAAAATAGCCTACTATGATCAAAAACCAAAAAATGCTTAAATTGCATTTTAAAACGAATCTAGGAATTATAAATGATAAATAATGCTAATTCAGATATAAAATCGATATTTTTTTGAAAATAGCCTACTATGATCAAAAACCAAAAAATGCTTAAATTGCATTTTAAAACGTATCTAGGAATAATAAATGATAAATAATGCTAATTCAGATATAAAATCGATTTTTTTTTGAAAATAGCCTACTATGATCAAAAACCAAAAAATGCTTAAATTGCATTTTAAAACGTTTCTAGGAATTATAAATGATAAAAAATGCTAATTCAGATATAAAATCGATATTTTTTTGAAAATAGCCTACTATGATCAAAAACCAAAAAATGCTTAAATTGCATTTTAAAACACATCTAGGAATAACAAATGATAAATAATGCTAATTCAGATATAAAATCGATATTTTTTTGAAAATAGCCTACTATGATCAAAAACCAAAAAATGCTTAAATTGCATTTTAAAACGAATCTAGGAATTATAAATGATAAAAAATGCTAATTCAGATATAAAATCGATATTTTTTTGAAAATAGCCTACTATGATCAAAAACCAAAAAATGCTTAAATTGCATTTTAAAACGAATCTAGGAATTATATATGATAAATAATGCTAATTCAGATATAAAATCGATATTTTTTTGAAAATAGCTTCCTATGATCAAAAACCAAAAAATGCTTAAATTGCATTTTAAAACGAATCTAGGAATTATAAATGATAAAGAATGCTAATTCAGATATAAAATCGATATTTTTTTGAAAATAGCCTACTATGATCAAAAACCAAAAAATGCTTAAATTGCATTTTAAAACATATCTAGGTATTATAAATGATAAAGAATGCTAATTCCGATATAAAATCGATATTTTTTTGAAAATAGCCTACTATGATCAAAAACCAAAAAATGCTTAAATTGCATTTTAAAACGTTTCTAGGAATTATAAATGATAAAAAATGCTAATTCAGATATAAAATCGATATTTTTTTGAAAATAGCCTACTATGATCAAAAACCAAAAAATGCTTAAATTGCATTTTAAAACGTTTCTAGGAATTATAAATGATAAAAAATGCTAATTCAGATATAAAATCGATATTTTTTTGAAAATAGCCTACTATGATCAAAAACCAAAAAATGCTTAAATTGCATTTTAAAACGAATCTAGGAATTATATATGATAAATAATGCTAATTCAGATATAAAATCGATATTTTTTTGAAAATAGCTTCCTATGATCAAAAACCAAAAAATGCTTAAATTGCATTTTAAAACGAATCTAGGAATTATAAATGATAAAGAATGCTAATTCAGATATAAAATCGATATTTTTTATATTATTACACGCTTTTATTTAACTCACACTGTTTGTATATTTGCGTCAAATCTTGTAATTGATTTTTCGATCACTTCTCCTGCTCCATTCGAGCTCAAATTTATTTTGTATACGTATTCTCGGTGACAATACATTATTTTAACACTTTGGGACCACAAAAATGCTTAAATATAGTAAAATTTTAGTAAAACTTTTTTAAATGGGAAAAAATCCAATGTCAATGACATAAACTTTTGATTTGTTTAAAATATTATACTAGAAATGCTCAAAAGTCATTTATATGATTCATTATAGTTTAATTAATATTACTAATTATTAATTATACCATAAATTTGAGCAGCTAAAGATATTCTGGTAAGACAAAAAAATTGACATGTAATTTTTTCATGAATATTCGTAAGTGAAAATTTGAATTTTCAAAAAAACCGTTAAGCACAAGTCCGTTACGAATTAATGCAAAATAACTATTAATATGCGATGTGCATTTAGCACACATAATTTGAGCATAAACTTATGCTGTTTTTAATGTATTACATTATTTATAACACTTCACCAATTTAATTAAATTGACTTTTCTATTTATTAACGGCTTGACGTATTTTTGCATAACATATGAATGACATTCATTGAATTTAAATTTGAAAATCCGTTTTAAATTCGTTACATATAGATGTGATTTGCATCTTTATGTTAAAAATCTACATGTTATGTAGTAGGAATGGTACGGATAAATACAAAATCTTTAATTGAAGTAAGGACATTTTTAAAAGAGTTTCGTGTGTTTTCAGGTATGACTTAAATAATTTAATACGAATAAAAAATTTTGATAGTCTTTACAAATTAAAACTGGTAATCTTTAAATAGTTGAACGAAACGAAGTGCAACGAATTCGAGTTTAACACACCTGTTACCTATAAACCTACTGTAATCTATGAACAATTGAACGAAGCGGAGTTAAACGAAGTGAAGACTAACACTTCATGTAATCTAAAAACTGTAACCTCCTCATTAAGTCTGATAAAGTCAGTGTTGTAATAAAACAAAAGCTCCAAATTTTGGAAGTTGAATCGATTTACAGATTTGATAAGACTAAAAAGTAGAAAATAAAATACTATAAAAAAAAACTTTTTTAAAAAAGCACGCTTTTATTTCCGATTCCAGTGCACTAAAAAGGAGAAAATAATTTTTTTCTGAGAACTCAAATTTGATACAAAATTTTATGACTAAAAATAAATGCGTGGGGCGTTCAATTTTAACCATCTCTAGATTTTCTATAATATATTCACATACCTAATGCTTGTGCAAACATATATGGATGATTTTTAATTGACACAAATTCAAGTTTTTGGGATATATGCAAGAGCGCCCCACGCTTTTATTTTAAGTCATAAAATTTTGTATCAAATTTGAGTTCTCAGAAAAAATTTATTTTATCCTTTTTAGTGCACTGGAATCGGAAATAAAAGCGTGCTTTTTTAAAAAAGTTTTTTTTTAAAACAGCCTCCTATGATCAAAAACCAAAAAATGCTTAAATTGCATTTTAAAACATATCTAGGTATTATAAATGATAGCGCATATTTGAAACTTGTTTCGAAAAGGTAGCTTAATAATTCATTTTGATCGGCTGCTCGGCTGTGTCTGAGATCTCATTAACCAGACATCATAGAGAGTTCTAGTTTGTTTTATTAGCTTCCGTGCATTGTTTTATTGGCTTTAAGATTATTTTCGAACCGTAAAATAATGGATAAATTCTATATTTAATTTTATTGTTTAAAGCGTTTAGAAATTCGAATTTATTTCTACCGTTGAAAAGTTTTGAATCTCAAAAAACCGTTAAATTACAAAGCCTTTTTATATGAAAATTTTTTGCAACAGACTGCTATGTATACTACAATTATTGCTTTTACTGTAACTTTTGGCAATATACTTTCAAATGCATATGACCGTTACAAAATTTGAACTTCAGAAAACCGTTAAATGATAAACAATTTATATAGGAGAATGAAAGATATTAAATTGCTAAATATACTATAATTGATGATTTTTTGTATATCTTTTGGCGGGAAGCTTTCAAAAACTTACCGACTGATTCAAGTTATTTATTAACCGTTAAAAAATTTGAATTCCAAAAAAACGTTTAATGATAAATCCTTGCTGTATGGAAATTCAGTGCTACAAATTATTAATTATACTATAGTTATTGTTTTTGAAGTGCAACTTTTAGCGGGAAAATTTCAAATTATTTTACTGATCGCTAACACAAAACTGCGCTTAAGTCCCTCGATCAATAACACGAGGACTACTGTATTTTTTTATTTAATTGCACTTTATTGCATTTATTGACGACACACTTTTTGAGTTTTTTCTCCCCCCTCCCTCTGTGACAAAACTGTCCAAATACCAGTACTTCCCCCCCCCCCTCCCCCCCCCCCCCTTCCCATCCTGAATCTCGGACGTCTAAGTGAACGACCAAAAACGGAAGTTAAATATCAGGAAACTGGTGATCAAAAGACTTTAAAGCTGATAATTAATACAGGGTGATTACACCTTAGACACCAGTAGACTTAAGCTCTGCAAAAAACTCTTGAACCAAATTTAAGCAACAAAAAGCAAATTAAATTCATTAAAATTCTCTCTTTGAGGAGTTTGATATAGAGCCCTCCCCCTTCCCTATTTTCAGGGGCGTTTTGTCACCCAAATCCCCCCCCCCTCGGGTTACGCTCCTGCCCGTTTGGCTACAACTCTATCACTATACATACTAAGTGGCCGTCCACTTATTACGTAACGCTTTTAGGGGGGAGGGGGGGAGGTCTAAGATTTTGTTACGGTTCAAACAAAAAAATTTTTTAGGAGGGTGGTCTAAAATGTCGTTTTTTCGCGCTACGTAATAAGTGAACGGCCCTTAGACACCTATTGTAAGACTTAGTACATCTGATTCGTTCTAATGTTTACATTTGCCACAATAACTTCGCAGCCGGCAGATTTTTTCAATAAAATTTATTATTCTCTTTGAATTAAATGCAAATGTAAACAAAAAAAAAACTTAGTCCGACTTAAAAATTTATTAAATGAGAATCTTAAAAAAATGAGAAAAACAAATTTTACAGCCATAACCAAACAGGTTCCGATCATCAAATACATTTAAAAAAAATATCAATAATCACCTGTGGTAGCTTAGAAGAGAATGTAAATATTTTGGTAAGTTTACCACCAATATAATCTACAGCCACGGCCTCTCACATTTCCGTCTACTTCTCAGTCTCTTTGCTCATTTCTTTCAGTCAAGTCGAAGATTATTTTTTAGTTCCGCGATTACTTTTTGCGTGTCTGTGCCATAAAAAATTGTAATTTAAAGCTCCAGTCATGTCGCGATTGACGTGGATGCAAAAGAATTTTACAGACAATTATTCAAAAGATCCAGCACAAGCAGCAGCACTGCTAGATTCAATAAATCAAAGGAATTTTAGTGATTTTCGGTATGCTTTGGAAATTCTTAAATGTGATCCAAACTTAATCGATGCTGCGACTGGATTGAGTGTCTTTCAAACAGTGTTGCAGACTCCAAATTCATCGGAATTTATTAGATTGTGCATTAACAATGGAGCCAACTTCTACAAGGTATTTACGTCACTTAAATATTCGCGTGACTTCTTTTTTTATTCGTTTTGTTTGGATTTTGTGTTTGGGGATTTTATGAGGGTATACAGCACTGCTTACTGGTTAGTTCAACATAATCGCTTCGCTGTCTTTTTTTTTTTTTGTTCAAAGAGTTGAATTTGAAGTGAGAAAATGAAATATTTAAAGAAATTTCGAGGATTAAATGATGTCAATGGAAGATGAACCTTATAATGTTGTTTGGTGATCTTTGTGATTTTCTTTTGTAAGAGAATTAAAGAAGATGGACGTCAAGTGCTAGATGGCTTTTTGGTATTTAAAGAGCATTTAAATGTTTTGATAGAAATTGGGATACAAATTGAAATTCAAATGCTAGATAATCCTAATAAAATGTTTGAAATTAGACAACCTTACAAATGACTACCTAGCACAAATAAGAGTCAAGTTTAATTGTTTAAAAAAATATTTAAATTATCATTCAACACTTCTAGACTAAACAGATAGAAGCTCAGTGGATTTATTTCAACCGGAAAGTAAACAAAGAGTGGACATAAACATGCGTGTGAAAATTAAATAATTGTTCTTAGGGGTCGTTCACTTATGACGTCTAAAGAGGACGGTTGGGGGAGGGGGGGTCATCAAGTAAAGATCAATAGACATTCCTCAAAATCCATTGTTCTTTTTTGAAAAATGACCGTTAATTTTGGACGTCATAAGTGAACGACTTAATTAAAAAAACATAAAATAATTTTATAAAATAATTGCAAAGCAAAAGTGAAGAAAACTAGTGTATCGGGTAGAAACTCAATGCGGATTATATTCACACCGTACTATCATAAGTCTTATGGATAGACCAAGATTTGCCCATCATAAGTATGAAGGTATGAAGCTTGATAAGTCAACTAAGCTTCGCTCAGCATATGTTTGAAGTTATAAAGCTATCGCGTAAGCTGAGCTACGCTCAGCATAAGTTTGAAGATATGAAGCTAGAGAGGCAGCTGAGCTTCGCTCAGCATAAGTTTGAAGTTATAAAGCTATCGCGTAAGCTGAGCTACGCCCAGCATAAGTGTGAAGATATAAAGCTAGAGTGTCAGCTGAGCTACGCTCAGCATAAGTTTGAAGATATGAAGCTAGAGAGGCAGCTGAGCTTCGCTCAGCATAAGTTTGAAGATATGAAGCTAGAGAGGCAGTGGAGCTTCGCTCAGCATAAGTTTAAAGATATAAAACTAGAGTGTCAGCTGAGCTACGCTCAGCATAAGTTTGAAGATATAAAGCTAGAGTGTCAGCTGAGCTACGCTCAGCATAAGTTTGAAGATATGAAGCTAGAGAGGCAGTGGAGCTTCGCTCAGCATAAGTTTAAAGATATAAAGCTAGAGTGTCAGCTGAGCTACGCTCAGCATAAGTTTGAAGATATGAAATTAGAGAGGCAGTGGAGCTTCGCTCAGCATAAGTTGAAGTTATAAAGCTATCGCGTAAGCTGAGCTACGCTCAGCATAAGTTTGAAGATATAAAGCTATCGAGTCAGCTGAGCTACGCTCAGCATAAGTTTGAAGGTATAAAGCTTGACGAATATGCCAAATATTCTTTAAAAGTTTTTTAAAAAAAATTTTCATCCAAAGTTGAATTTTATAAAAATCACAGTCAACTTTTGTTTTAAAAAATTCGTAAGAAAGGAAAGTTTTTTGCCATTTCTGAAGCAACGGCTGTTCCTACCTTGCCCAAAAACAATACAGCTCTTCTATAGAGCAGCACGGATCAAATGTAAAAAACTAGAAGTCTCTACCATGTCTCGTTATTGAGATTTCTTGCTGATTAACTTGCTTGCTTGCTTGCTTGTTTGCTTACAGAAAGCGTATTTTGCGATTTTCTCAGCAATGCCACAACCAATTTGAAATCTGTTTTTTGAAAATGATGTAAAATTTCAGGCACAAACTTTTCTTCTAGGACCTTTTATAACCAATTTTGCTTTGTTTTCTCACAAAATGCGAAAAACTGATTTTTCAATCTGAACAAAACCAATAGATTCACACGTGAAAACGGTGTGAAGAAAAAAACCAAAAGTTTATTTTTTGAAATTAGATTCTCAGTGCAGAGAAGCATCAATTTCATTTCTTTTTCACTTTAATTCGCACTAGTTTATTGAATTTTAGAGGGAAACATTTCAATAAACATTATTTAAATTTCACCAAATCAAACATTTTTATTACCATTAATATGCATTTAAGTATGGACATTGGTATTTAGAAAGTGAATTTTTGCACAGTAAAAGGTGAAACAACAAATAATGTAAAATTTAAAATGATGTTCAATTTGTGTTATTTGGGGATTCCCAATTTGGATTATCTTTTTGTGATGATTTAATCATGATGATGATGATTTTTGGATGTCAACTAAAAATGTTAAGAGTTTAATAGATTAGAAATGTTAAAAATGTAAAAATAGGCTCAATTAATTTCATCAAATCACTAATTTTACTATGAAAGCTTTAAAAGTGGAGTTTTGTGATTCATTTGGTAATCTAAGCAAACACTTTTATTATTGTAGATGTTGAAAACTAGTTTGGGGTCTTTAACTTATGACGTCCAGAAGTAACGGTCATTTTTCAAAAAAGAACAATGGATTTCCAGCCAATTTCCAGTTTCCAATTTCTATTGTTCTTGTCTTGATGACCCACCATGACATGATCTTGGACGTCATAAGTGAACGGCTCCTTTAGATCGTCCACAATTAAGACTATGTTTAAAATGGAGCATCAGTTGCCAAAAATGCTACTACGCTGCTTAACAGCTTTTATTGAAATTATTAATTTGTCTTCTCAATTCTGGTATAGTCCATTAACAATTTACTAGTGTTTGGGGTTGTATCTGATCAGAGTGAAAGTCTGAGTAGGTTGGAAATAGGTTCAGTCGATTTTGTGATAAAAAAAATATAAGCAAAACCCTTCCGAAATCTTCAACAATAATTTTCTTATCCAGCATCGCCAAACAATACAATTTCCGTGAATCCCCAGAGTCTTTAGCTATCAAATAATGATTCAGCAATGTGAATCTGTCATTAAGTGTGTGAATAACAATGATCAGCAGGGAAAAAACTTACCATTGAATTCTTTCCGTATGTTTTGGACTGATGTATGACTGATGGTGCTAATTGCCTCCACATACACGAAGCTGTTTTGATACTTTTTTGCATGCTAATCATTTGGTCAAGTTTTTAAGGTAAACAATCGAATGTTTTATGTTGAAGTGTATTGTGTGTTGGAAATAGAATATATTTGATAAACTGTTGGTCATCATCACTTAAAATAGTTTAACAGGAATGTGAGATTGGGTAAAATTTATACCATTCTAGATGAAATTTAAGCATTAATTTGATCGAAAATTTTTTGAAATATTTGAAAGTTTACTGTCTGTCCAAAGTTGTTCAAACTAAATGCTACTGAATTTTTTTTGAGTGCTAAGCTATTCAGCGATGGATTGCCCCTAAGTTGTGCCGTGGTTCAAAATGTTTGGACAACACTGGTCTAAGCCTTCCCCTCCTTAATGGAAATGTCCTTCCAAAAACTGAAAATAATCCCGAATAGCACAAGTCGGTTAATCGAATAGAAATCCGGTGTTAAACATTTCATAAAATCAAATCTTAATAAATTCATAATAAATGACTCAACGCGTTATGGGGCAAAATGAAAAAAAAAGGGACTTTCACTTTGAAAAATGGACTTTTCCGATTTACACTTTTTGGGTGATTTTTTCTTGTAGAGGACATAAAAGTAGATAGAAATGCCAAATTTCAGGTCATTTGGTGCTGATTTCGCGATTCTAGAGCTGTTTGAAGTTGAAAACTAGTAAAAATTCTGGTTTTTTCATACCATGTTTGAACCGGGAAATATCTTAACTGGTTTAAGATATTGCAAAACGGTTTTCAGTTCCTATTAGTAGTATATAAGAGCTTTATTTTGACATATAACAAAGTTTAGGTTCTGAATGTTTTCGTGCCATTATGGTAGAACATATGTGAAAATTTCAGGAAAATTATCTTCAAACAAGCCGCAACTATCATAAATGAAGAGTTTCCAGGCAAGTAAAAACGCAGTTTTGTAGCCCCATATATCTAGTTTTCAAAACTGTATAAACTTTGAAAAAGTAAGCTAACGTAATTGAGTTATGTTGATTTTAGTAGGTCGTTGAGTATTTGGCCAAAAACTAATAATTCTTTTAAAAATACGAAAACATAGTTTTAAAAATAGTTTTTTGGTGTTTTCTTATGAAAAATAACAATTTAAATGATTTTGTGAAGAAAATTTTTCAAAAACTTCAAAATCTTTCGAGATATAGGGGGTATGTGCTCTCCATCGATTTGGCCATTTGTCACCCTACTTAAACCACTATAACTTTTTTTTGAAAAAATATTTTTTAATTCTGTTTTCGGATTATTGTAGCCTAATGTAATACCTATCCAACGATATATAATACTTGCTAGTTAACTTAGTCCTGGTTATTTATAGGGCTGTTGATTGTGACATACGCAGTTTTTGAAATATTCCCAAAAATTGCATTTTCAAAAATACCACTTTTAAGCAATCTCGAGTATTTTTTGGACTTTTTTAAGAAATGTTAAGTCTGAAAAAAGCTATTATCATTAGAGTAATAAAAAAAATACTCTGATACGCAACTATAATAGGTAAAATTAATAAAGTTTAATTTTTAGTTTAATGAAATTTTGTTTATTTGTCAAGAAATTTAATTTACATTTTTTTATCATATTTAATGAAATTTATTTATTCATTCGTTGTTTGCTTCTTCAGAATATTCATGGTCTTGTCCTTCGGAATAATCATAGTTTTCTGCTTGGGAAAAGTCATAACCTTCTCCTTCTGGCTCAATCAATTCAATTTCTTCCTCATCTTCTTCCTCATTTTCTGTTTGTTGCTCAGGTGTTTCACCTTCTTCTTGGACATTTTTTCTCATTAACCTTTTATTTATTACATCCATATATTTTTTTATTATTACTGGATCAGAACTGTAGAGTCTTCTATGTATAACATCCGTAAAACTGTGTATTCTTGAAGTTTTTCTGGCACGTAGTTCTCTATCTTGTCTGAGATATTTGTTTTGTGACTCCCCGGCTTCTTCACTCATTCTTCCTAGAGGTAATGGTAAGGCTTCCATGTAGTGTTTTGCATGAGCAAGTGCTCTGTGAAGTGTTACTGGTATTTTGAACCAACTATATGTTGTCAAAAACATTCTGTATGTTTCTTTACAGTACCTATCAAATTCATCTAGATCATCAACTGGTTCTAAACTTCGAATTTGGTTTAGCACATAGCATATACGTTTAATTATTTCTTCATTAAGATATAGAGTTTTAGCTAGAAGCTCTGGATTTTCAAGAACTTTTCTTGCAACGTTTCCTGTATCTGATGATCCAGCTCCCCCTTGTCTTGGTTCGAGTACACGAACATTAAATGCATCCCACATTGCTTGCTTTATTCTAGCCTTTTCAACATCTAAAACAATCTGTTCCTCTTCAGTTATCTCCAGCCAGTGTTTTTGAACATATTGTTTATATGACAAATCATATAGAGTCGTGAGTACGTTCATTGATGTATGAAGTGGCTGAGTGTTGAAATACAAGTGTTCTTTAACAAATTTTCTGTGTGTTTTTTCGAATCTTCCATTATCAAGATTATTTATGTCACTCATCTCGTTTGGTCCAGATCTACAAAGCTGACATCTGCAATATCCTGATGTTTCTGTAAGGTCTGTGTAAACTTTTCCATCTAACATTGTGGGGTAGAATTTGTACGTAATTTCCAAAAGCATGTCTTCACATATGAATCTCTGTGGTTCAAGTTTTGATATTTGATTTTTTATATCTTCATATATCCTTCTAACATTTACTCTGGTTTCTTTGGCATGTTCAAGTTGTATTGGTCGTACTGAGTATACAGATTGACTGTTTTCGTTGTCCCATAAGCAGATATAATTTCCGTTTTCGTCTTCATGTCGTAGTTGCTGAACACTCATACTAACTGTCAATAGTGATTTGTCTTCTATAATTTCATTATTAGTCGTTTGATTCGGTTGTGTTCTATCTCGTTCTTGATTTCTTGAATTTGTTTTTCCTTGGTTATACTGTGACTGTCCTGTTGTTCCGTCCATCCCCCATGTGACGATCATTTCTGCATGAATAACTTTTGGAGTTGATTCTGAAGGTAATATTTTGATTTTGTCGTATATTTCTGAATTGTGTGCTTCAATAACTCTTTTTGTGGTGAGTTGTGTCAAATTTTTTAGTGGAATAACGGCTCTTGTATCGGTGACCGTTATGTCATCAGGATAGCATTGTTTCTCTAACCTCAACAATTTTTTAGCTGTCGGTAAAACGTTTTCGCATTCCAGTTTCAGGACTTGTCGAATATTGTTGTACTGATTTCGAGATAAATTGTTAAAGGCTTTTACACCTAGAGCTACATGTATATCTAGTTGTTTAGGTTTTGATGTAGTTTTTTCTGGAAGATCCTCTCCTTTTTGGCACGCCTTAATAAATTCTTTTAACATTTTAGCTCCTTCTACTTTTCCTTCTTCTTTAGAAAGGCGAAGTGCCAAGTGAAGAACTGATAACAATGATCCTTTTGCTTCTTTTAAACTGATATCTAATTCGTCCACTCTTCTACGTCGATGCTTATCGCTTGTTAGTTGTTCAAATGATTTCCTCTTGATGCCCTTGCTGGATGAAGGCTCTATGTCATGGACGATGTATTCAATCTCATCCATATCTTCATCTGTGTCAGTAACATTTTCTGCTTCATATATAGATTCTTCCTCAAAAAGAATCCCTCCACTAGATTCGCTGAAGTATCGTGAGTCAACTTCAAATTCCTCTTCATAGAAATCTGCATGATCTCTTAATGCATTATTCCAATTTGACTGATTACAAAACATTTTTGACTTTGACTTCAGCTTGTTTAATTTATTAATTAAACTTGGTTTCTGTGATTCCGCTAATTCTCTCCCATGAATTTCTTCTATTACTGCCAAACAGTACGTGTGCTGTGTTGCAAGATTTAACGTTTTGTCGCGAAGAATTTCACAGAGTGTTTTCTTCGTAAGTGTTGAATTTTGGTTCATTTTTGAAAGTGACTTGTTCAATGAAGTTCAAAACTGATATGATGTGTAGAGAGAATTTCACGAGTATATATATAAAATAGTTTCAAAACTGAGATTTTCACACCTGATAGTGACTACCAAGGGTACTTTACAAAGTTGTTAACTAGGGAAGTAAAAAGTTTCTAAATTTAATTTTTTGGCTTTATAATCTCATAAATGTCATAAATAAACATAAAAAAGTTCTAAAAAAATACTCGAGATTGCTTAAAAGTGGTATTTTTGAAAATGCAATTTTTGGGAATTTTTCAAAAACTGCGTATGTCACAATCAACAGCCCTATAAATAACCAGGACTAAGTTAACTAGCAAGTATTATATATCGTTGGATAGGTATTACATTAGGCTACAATAATCCGAAAACAGAATTAAAAAATATTTTTTCAAAAAAAAGTTATAGTGGTTTAAGTAGGGTGACAAATGGCCAAATCGATGGAGAGCACATACCCCCTATATCTCGAAAGATTTTGAAGTTTTTGAAAAATTTTCTTCACAAAATCATTTAAATTGTTATTTTTCATAAGAAAACACCAAAAAACTATTTTTAAAACTATGTTTTCGTATTTTTAAAAGAATTATTAGTTTTTGGCCAAATACTCAACGACCTACTAAAATCAACATAACTCAATTACGTTAGCTTACTTTTTCAAAGTTTATACAGTTTTGAAAACTAGATATATGGGGCTACAAAACTGCGTTTTTACTTGCCTGGAAACTCTTCATTTATGATAGTTGCGGCTTGTTTGAAGATAATTTTCCTGAAATTTTCACATATGTTCTACCATAATGGCACGAAAACATTCAGAACCTAAACTTTGTTATATGTCAAAATAAAGCTCTTATATACTACTAATAGGAACTGAAAACCGTTTTGCAATATCTTAAACCAGTTAAGATATTTCCCGGTTCAAACATGGTATGAAAAAACCAGAATTTTCACTAGTTTTCAACTTCAAACAGCTCTAGAATCGCGAAATCAGCACCAAATGACCTGAAATTTGGCATTTCTATCTACTTTTATGTCCTCTACAAGAAAAAATCACCCAAAAAGTGTAAATCGGAAAAGTCCATTTTTCAAAGTGAAAGTCCCTTTTTTTTTCATTTTGCCCCATAGTGCAACGCTATCATTCATATTGAACAAGAATGCAAGACAATATCCAAGAATCAATTACCAACAAGCGTTCAAAACCTGTTTAGATTCCAAAGTCTTCTTAAAAAGTCTGTCTTCAGAACAGAAATAATGAATCATCTTCTCTGTAAGAAATGTGATCCGCTAGCTAACAAAAGAATAAGAAGAATACATATAATGTGTGGATCTTGCATTTCAATCGACAATTCCAAGAATCAATAAGAAGTAAAAACAGTAAGTTGCGTAAACAGTTGAGTACGATTGTGAATTCATATATCAGGAAGAAGTACCAAGTTGGTAATTCAAATAAACAATAAAAGCTATAATTTAAAAGAATATAAAATTGAAAATTTATTGTCATTATGTTGATGCCATATAATTTAATATGATATTTGAATTTCTGAATTCTATAATTTTAATAGCTATCCTATACATATGATCATTTGCACTTAAAGACTTTTCAAGCATGTTCACTTTAAAATGATAAATATAAGCCTCTTTAGGTGGTGCTTTCTCATGAATTCTCGAAGTTTAGTAAAAATTGTCAGGTTTTCTTTTGATTTTTGCAGTGTTTGGATAAAAAACAAAGATTAGTCGACTAAAGACCTAAGCTGATGGTCAGCTCAAGTATCGTTTGTCATCGATTTACTAAATTATTTAACCTGAAAACTCAATTACCGATTCCTCACAAATATATTTTTTTTTATCTTATAAATTTATTTATCTGCTCCTCCTGCAAATCTTAATATAATCCTTGCCTTGCCGTGTACATGTTATTATACACACAGGCATCTAAATCTAGACCTAGCTCACATAACTGCTTATCAACTATGTTCATTCACATTCTTTATTTTCCATTGTACACAATATCATTAAGCTACACGAAACATAAACAAAACAGAATAAAAATATAAATGACCTTCAGTCTCACGTGTTTAACTTGTTGCAAGTTACGGTTCTTCCAAGGTCATTGACTTCTTCAGCTTACTTTCTTTGTGATTGATATTTAAAGATTAACATTATTTTGATGCTTATGGCTTTTTGAAGTATTGTGTAGAGTCTAGGAATGAAAAAAATCTAGTTTATAGCAGAGCTCACAGTCACTCTGGTGTTTATAGGATATAGCACATGCGCGTAGCCAGGAGGGTCATGCCCCCCCCACCCTTAAATGTTTTGAACCGCAACGAGAACACTGCCTAAAACGCTGAAGAGGGGGACAAGAACATCCTGGCTATGTGCCTGATGCAGCAGTTACTTTGTTACATCTTAAATCTATGCTTTACTCAACCTTTCATAAATTCTTATTATCTTCTAGAAAAGCTCCAGCAACAGATTCCCAATTCACTTTGCCATCAAATCACTATGTACTGGAAATTTGAAAGCTTTCCTGAAAAACTACGATCCATCAAAAGTGAACCTTAAATATAGTGGACAGAACTCCTTACACTGGCTAATTAGCTCGATGACTAATTCAAACTACAAAAAGTCTTGTGAATGCATAAAAATCCTGTTGGAACATGGAGCGAACCTTAATATGCCAAACAATTCTTTAAAGACGCCATTTTACATGCTTTTGAAGAAGCAGCCAGACATTGATGATGATGATAATTTAGTGGACTTGATTCTTAATAATTATGATGTCGACTTTTATACTTACCGGAATCATGAAATGATGAAAATGATGGAGAATCAGAACCCAACTTTTGACATTCCGCCAAAGCCACGACGAAAAATGTCCTTTGAATTTATGATGGAACAGATTGACAATAGAAATGAACTTGATTTTGAGATTTACTTCAAAGCTTTTAAGGAAGAAAGCAACGACAAATTTAATGAGTATTGTCTACGGCTATTGGAAGTTGCTGTAGCCAATGGGATGCGTGACACTGTTGAATATTTATTGGAGCAAAAAGTCGATGTTAATGCAATGTCAGCATGTTCTAAGTATGCTAAACCACCTGCTTTTATAGCTGCTAGCAGCGGATATTTTAGGATTCTGGAGTTGCTAATTAAAAGACCTGAATTGAATTTTTCGTTTAACAATGCAAATCAAAAGTTTACGTTGCTGCATGAGGTCAGTTCTGGATTTTTATTTTTTGCATCTTTTAAAATTTTTCGCATCTTTTGCCATATTTCGCACGTTTTTCCATATTTCGCGCCTTTTTTCATATTTCGCATCTTTCACCACATTTCGCATCTTTTACCATATTTCGCATCTTTTACCATTTTTCACATCTTTTATTTCAGGTTTGTCAAAACTTTGCCAACAAACTCAAAGAAAATCGCAACATTAACTTCCATAAATGCTTTGAAATGATCCTAAAAGACAACAGATGTGAAGTCAATGCTGAGGATGACATAGGATGCAGTCCATTACATTATACAGTCAAATATAGAAATGATGCAGCAACAATAGCTCTACTAAAGAGAGGAGCATTCATAAATGAGGAAAGCATCTTCGGAAAGACACCAATTGATGAGATTTCAAAGTCTACACTTGAAGCATTCCTTGATGAATGTATATGCACAAGAGATAAGAAGATGAATGACATTCACATTGACTATAACTTCCTTATCACACCGAATAGAAATAGATTTCAAGACAGTGCTGATAAGGATGGATTTTGTAAGGAAATTTCACCACTCAAAAGGCTCTCAGAAAATGAGGAACTGAAGAGTCTTGTGACACATCCGGTCATATCTTCATTTTTATTCCTTAAATGGTCAAAGTTGAGTTTCTTATTCTACACAAATTTGATATTATTTTCATTTTTTATGTCAACATTCATAATGTTTATCGTTTTGTGTCAGTCAGTTCCTCATGATCTTAGAGATGAACATCCAACCTTTAACATCTTTAAAGTTCTGTCTTATGTGCAACTGATAATCCTCATGATTCGCGAATTCCTTCAATGTTTTCTCAGCTATAGACATTACTTTAAAAGTCTCATGAATTGGTTTGAAATCGCATTAATCACATTGGCATGGGTCGTCTTCCTGCTTAGTGAAAATTTCAATCATCAAGACCAACGCATCCTTCGAGCTGTGCTGATCCTCTTCTCAGCTTTTGAGTTTCTTCAAATTGTTGGAACTCTTCCAATTCTTTCAGTCTCAACACATATGGTCATGCTTAAGAGAGTCTCAATTACCTTCCTCAAGTCCATAGCTTTATACTCAATTTTATTGTTTTCCTTTGGGCTGTGCTTCTTTATGTTGTTTGGTGAGAGTCATGTGGATCAAAAAGATGCAGCAAATGAAACAATCATATTGTCTTCGGATGACATTTATGAGTCAATGAGTAATGACAGTTTGAATATGCCAAGTGATGTGCCGGATGTTCCAGAAGGTAAAAGTGATTTTGCTAGCTTCAGATATCCTGGAATTGCTATTGTGAGGGTCTTTGTGATGTTGACAGGTAAGACAGGCATTTTTCGCAACATTATTAAATTTTTGTCTAATATTCCTGATTTTTAATATCCAGGTGAATTCGACGCAACAGACCTCGACCTCAACTCCAGTGCTTACTGCATAATCTTCACCCTCTTCGTCTTTCTCATCACAATCGTTCTATTTAACCTCCTTAATGCATTAGCTGTAAGTGACACAGCAGAAATTAGAAAGAAGGGAGAGTTAATCGACTTAATACAGCGAATTGATGTGCTTGAAAGTTATGAGAAAATAATTTTTAATGAACAGTCGACCAACAGCTGGTTGGGACCAAAACTTCGTTCATTTATTTCACTTTTTCCTCTTACAATTCCGCATGGCAAAATTATTATTCGAGCGAGTAAAAATAATGAAATTTTGACATTTAAGCCATCAAAAATGGCACCAAACCTTAGTCGGGACCTTGAAAGCAGTGACAGTATTGAGATTAATGCCATAACAAAGAAATCATTCCGTAAATTGCACCTGAATGAGGATTTCCTATCAAAACTACAAAAATATTCAACAATGAGTCCTGAAATTATGAAACAAATTAACATGATAATTTCTGAAAGAGATGAGAGGAAGAACAAGGCAGCACAGGACAGGAAAATGAGGGACGATATTGAAAATATTAAAATTCAAATGGAAATTCAACTAAGATTAATTAATGAAATTTTATCGAAACAAAATCTTGACTAAAGCTACAAAAAAAAAGTTTATTTTAACATAAAAAAATAAAAATTATTTTTTAAAAATTATATTTTTTTACAGTAATTATTTTCAGCTTTTAAAGCAAGACGTGGACTCTAGTCTTATTATCCTAAGTTCAAAAAGAAGCGAGTTATTTTAAAAATCGATCATAAAACATTCAAAAAAGAGCAAGATTTAGATTGCACGATAAAAAGGTAGCTAGCTGTTCCTAAACTGTCTAAATTTGTGCTTCATTAACAGGGATTTAATTTCTCAACATGGTTCTGAGTTATTTTGATTTTGCTTAATTCAAATTAGCTTTTAATAATCGATGTTTCAGAATCGAGGTTTCATTTATTTCTGACATTAAAAAGTAGCTTATTTACAAAAATTTTAAAATATAGACATCAAAACATGAAAAATTTAAATCTTCTGAAAAATGAACCAAAATTTATGATCGTCGTGAATGGATTTCAATTCTGTGTTCAGAAATTAAAAGAAAATCTTATTTTTCCATTAAATTTATAATTTGAATTGCTGAACGTATGCCAAGTTTTATTCTGAACCAAGTTTGACTAAAATGTCAAAGATTTTCAACATTCTCTGAATGATTAGTAAAATTATTATTTAAGGCACTTGTCATTTTTGTCAATTCCTCTATGATTTCTTTTTCGTCATCATCCTCATCTCGGAATATTTTTGAACGTTCTCGCTCGCATTTTAATCTTTCAATTAATTTTTCTTTTTCTTTGAACAAAAATTGATTGTCATGATTTGAATTAGTATTGAATATTGTTTGTTTTTCAAAGTCTGATTTCCTTTCTGCTGCCTTTCTCTCACTTTCAAACTGTTCTTTTTTCCGTTCATTGTTTTCGTTCAAAGCACGAATCGATTTTTGTTCTATTTTTTTCATATTTTCTTCTGAGTTTTCATGAAAATTATCAATTAAGTCTTTTAATTGATTTACAAATTTGTCATCATGATTTAAAATTCCTAATTTTCTAATTTCTGAATTATTATATTTTACAATAGCTTTATCTTTAATTAATTTATGAAGATATTCCTTTTGGGTTTTAGTCTTAATGTAACATTGATACTTAAATAAGTTTTGTGTGTAGTAATCATAACAGGAATTTACTAAAATAGTTTTTTGCATCTTAACTGTTTCGTCAAAAACTATTTTTGGATCAAGAATTTGACTTGTTTCAAAAAGTTTAATGATCAGTTCGAGTAATTTATGAAATTCGAAACCTGTCAAAACACATCCGTTAATTCTCTTTAAGGATTGGCTTTCAGGCTTCAACATTTGTTCTATTGTATCGATTAAACAAAGTTTAAAATTTGAATCCATTGCCTCATAATTTCCATCATATATTTTATCGCCTTTATCCTTTTCTGCACCAGAAACTATTTTTCCTATTTAAGATAGTCAAAAAACAAAACGTGAAAATTATTGAGACCAGCAAAAAATAAATTACAAAGGTCCTCGTGCTATTGATCGAGGGACTTCAGTGCATTTGACACAGCGATCAGTATTTGATTATCTAATTATTTTTCGTTCATTTACAGATCATTAGAAGATTAGAAGATCATTGATTTTAGTGTAATTGACCAATGAATGCTTATATAGAAAGGCTTTATCATTTAACGGGTTTTTGAAATTCAAATTTTAACTCTAGAAATAAATTCGAATTTCTGAACGCACCCTGAACAATTTTTACAACGGTAGGAAATAAAGTCGAATTTCTAAAAGCACTAATCACGTGTTTTTCATTTGGAATATAAAAGTAATTAATTATAGTCCAAAAACACTGTTTCTATACTTTTAAATTCGATTGCCCGAAATAAAACAATAGACTTGAGCTATTAAAACAAACCCAAGCTCTCTACGATGTCTGGTTAATGAGATCTCAGAAACCGGCCGAGCAGCCGAACGAAGTGCATTATTAAGCTCCCTTTTTTGAAACAAGTTTCAAAAATGCGCTAAAATGGAGGATGCGCTTAAACAGGATTGTTCTAAAAGAGGGGGTGGGGAGGCAGGAGGGGAGGGTTGTGGTTCAAAACCAATAATTATACAAGAGCACAAGTCGGTTGAAATGACTCTGGCATGGTGCTGGCTTCAATTTAAATTCAGCACCATGCCAGAGTTACGCCTGCTTAGTGCCGGAACTCTAATCGATTCGGGTTAATTAAGTATCAAAAATCCCGAAAAACTAAATTAAACAAAAGCATGATCAAAAGCAAGTCTGAGCTATGGAAAATACGTTAGGGGCTGTTCACTAATGACATCTAGGGGGGGGGGGAGTTAAGGGGTTTGCAAGAAAATTTGGACGTCATAAGTGAACGACCTTTTACCTGGATATGATAATAATGAGCACCCTATATTTTGAAAAGTATCCTTCAAATACTCAATGACTGGAAGAAGCTCTTTTTCAGTTCGTACATTGATTTTTTCTTTCATATAATTCATTCCACCTTCAAAGCCTAATTGATGCTCCTCTACGTAATCCTTAAATATTTATAAATTAAATTAAGCATCATTAGAATCTATTTAGCTTACCCAATCTCTGATAAGAAAATACAAATTTTGAAAATATTTATTTACATTTCCATTACTGATGGAAGCAACATGTTGTCTTAATTCAACTAAATACTTTAAATGTGTCAAATTGTTACTTGAAAGTTCTTTTGCACAATTTAAAATAAAATTTGATGAAAGTAATGAACCAAGCATAAACATTTTTGAATCATCATCCGATGGCGCATCGTCAATAAAAATTCCATGAGTGTCGATGACAGTAATTGCAATTTTTTCGCCAGTTCTTTCATCAGTAAAAAGAAAAGCATCATTCCAGATAGCAATTCCTTTTGTTACAGGTTTAGATCCTCGTTCCCAAGGGAATCCGTGCAGTGGCTCATTTTCATGACCAATCCAATTTTTAGGATCAAACTGTTTTCTGTTGTAAACTGAAGGATACTAAAGGAAATAACATATATAACTTACTCGAATGGCACAAGTCGGATAATCAAAATCTGGCCTCAAGTCGGTGGGATTCTGATATGGTGCTGTCCCGAAAAGCACAAGTCGGTTAATCGAATAGAAATCTGGCCTCAAGTTTGTAACTCTAGCATGGTGATGGCTTTGATTAAAATCCAGCTTCATGCCAGAGTCTCATCGGCTTGGTGCCAGATTCCTGATTGATTAACCGATCGTTGCCATTCGGGTGTATTTAAGTCGAAGCATCATAGCATGATACAACTTAATTACAGCACCATGCCAGAGCCATGCCGGATTTCTGTTCGATTAACTGACTTGTGTTATTCGAGTTATTTCTCATTATAATTAATAACTTTTTACTTACATTAGCATATAATAATCTTAGAAAATAGTTTAGTAAAAAACTCTTTCCTTTGCGTTTCGATCCAATGGCTGATATGGTCACACTTTTACGATGTCTTACATCATTATGAAGAAATATATTATCCTTTGCCAGTTCCTTAAATGTCTTGCTGTTTATATTATCAAAATAAATTATTTCTTCATGTCTTAAACCTTGAAATGAAATTTTATTATATTAAATGATTTTTTATATGTTTAGATTAAAGAGTTGACACGTAATCCTTTTTGAGTCGCCTCCATTAGAGTCTAGTCCCAAAAAGGAAAGTAACTTACCTTTTATCGAAACAATTTGTGCTTCATTGTCAGCGATCATATGAGAAACAAGATTCCGAGCAATTATGTTTTCGGTATTTAACTCTGCTAAATGAAGCAGATCAGCATTGATCAATTTCTCAAATTCGTTTGGAAAATCTTTAATTATTAGTTTAACATCATCTAAAATAAATGCTAATTTTTTTTCGCTTGCATATTGAGCTGCATGTTGAATAATATTCTTATTGTTGCATTTTTCTTGAATAAAATATAAATTGTTTCCTAGTGATTCCTTGTAAATGCTCCACACATGATTTAATACAGCAAAAGTTGAATAACAAACAGCTTGATGAAGAAGATTCAAATCTGAATCGTTCCTTAATGTCAAAATGTTAGAATTTTCATATTCTTTGAAAATAGTATTGATTGTTTCAATTACTAGTTTTGAATTTTGGTTATAGAGAAGGATGTGCAGGAAAGGGTTTCCATTGTTTTTATATTGATGTATAAATTTACCGCAATCTTTCTTGTCTGCAATCGTGTCTTTCAAAATTTTCCACATTTCCTTACTTGTATCTTCATCACAACATGTTGCAATGAAATGTAAAATGCTTGATTGCTTTATAAGATTCAGCAATGAAGTTTCTTTTAATTTAGAATATATGTATTTAATTAGATTTATATCCATTGTTAAGATACAAATATTAAAAATGTTATTCTCGCGATCAATCTTTAATATTTGAATTATTTCTTGTGGTCTCAAAAATTCATTTAAAATTTTGAAAAATTGCTCAAATTCAATTATGTTAAAAATTTTGGATTTACATAAGTAATGCAATAATGTTCCATTTTTTTCTTCATTTTTTAACAAATTTCTGACAAAATCGGCCGTTAATTTTTCCTCAATTAAATAAATTATATCAATTAAACATTTAATATCAATTTTTGAACGAATCATTTCATGTAAAACTTGATTTTGTGTAAGAAAATCTTTCAAATCATTTGTTTCTAAATTTTCTGCTAGCAATTTGAAGAATTTGTTGAAAAAGTTAACATTTTCTTCTTTTTTTACAAAATTCATCATACAGGAAGACAACACATCTTTAAAATTATTATTTAATTTAAAAATAGATAAAAAAAGTTTCATGATATTTCCAAGATTTTCTTCAAAAATAATCTCAAAAATTTCATTTAAGCTATTGTCAAAATAGCCATCAAATGTCCCCAAAACTTCTGTCATTCTTTTCATCACTTTATCGTTAGAAATTGCGCCATCAAAGAAAATTCTTAATTCTTTAAATCTTTTTGCTGTCAAAACTTTAAGAAAATTATTATTCAATTTAAATTTACTGTCCAAATTTATTGCAAGAAACTCCGCAACAAAAACGTAATTAAAAGCATTGTTAATAAATTCAAAAGCATCGTTTTTTTCAATCATCAATCCAAAATCAAGAACATTGTTCTCGAACATAACTGGTGGATCAATCCAAATCTCCGGAAATGTATTTTGAATTGCATAGTATTGATGAATTTCTCGTACAATTTCATCTTTTAGTTTATGAGAAAATCTTTGACTTAATTCTTTTAAAACATCAAATGCTAAACTATTAAGTGAACTTTCATTATAACTTCTATAATGTGATATTATTTCATAGATTTCAGGGAAGTTAAAAGCATCTTCAAAATGCTTTAATATGTTTTGACATAATTCATAGGCTTTAAGTTCTATATTAGGAGATATTGTTGACACATTACTGTCATCTTTTAACATCCACATTTTTGTTATCATTTTAACGCCATCAGCTAATTTAAATTTATCTAAATTGTAAACTACATCTATTGACAAATTGTTAAGAATCTTATCTTTTTGATCATCTCTTGTGGTTATCCATAACTGGTTGCCATTGTTGGAAATAAATGATTCACAATGTTTCAAAAAATTCTCTCTAAATTCTTCCTGAATATCATTAAATCCATCAATCAGAATAAAAACTTTTCCATTATCGTAAAGCACTTTAAAAAAGTTGGCTTCTATGTGATTTAATTCTAAAATCTTAATCATAAATTGAACAAAATTATAATCTTGAGTAAGGTTTCCAAATATTTTACCATATTGTTTTGAATCAATGCAAGAAATCCAGTGAAATGGATGTTTTTCATTCAGAAACTTTGAAATGTTTTGCAATGTCCAACTTTTTCCAGTTCTTGGCGAATCAGATATTAATATTTTTGAGAAACCAGCAATATCTAAATTCAGATCTTTTAATGAAATTATATTTTTAGGTTTATCTTCATTAATAAAAAATCTAGGCTGATAAAGATGATCTCCAACTGTTAATTCTCGTCTACAATTTATATCAAATGAATTCTCATTATTTTTTGTAATTAAATTAAGAACTTTATCATCTAAAATACAATTCGGATCGATTTGATCTCCTAGAAGATCTTTGAGTGTTGTTTTGCTATTGTTTTGAAAATTGATGTTTAAATTAAGAAGTTGTTGCTGACTTTCTGGTGAAAAATCATTGAATGTGTAATCTGCATCTTCATATAATGCATGGCTGTTGAAAATTTCAGTAATATTTGAGTGTTGCATGTCTTTAGATGCAATAAAAATGACAGAATTTGGATTTCTTTTGATTAATTTTAAAAAATTGTCTGATGGCTCATTTGAACATAAAACTATAATTTTTACTTTTTCAACTGATTTTAAAGCTTCTTTAAAACTTTCAAATGATTTCTTTTTTTCTATATCCGAAGTTATAAAAATAGTTTTCTTGCTAGGCATTTTCTCTACTTTAATGAGGTATTGATATAAATCTAATAAGAAAAATTTTATTACATTTGATTTAACAATTGTGCATCTCCTTTTAAATATTGAATCGATAATTTTTGAATTCAAAATCCTCAAATTAAATGTCATTATTTCTGAGAATATTCCAGCCGATCGATTTATTTCTTTTATTATATTTTGATTGACTAAACTAAAGTTTTTCAATTCGATTATTAAATATTTGCTTACGTATTCAAAAAGCAAATGATATTTTTGTTTTAAATATTTCAACTTATCTTGATCATCATAATATTCTATTAGAATTTGAAATGGTCTCACAATTAATTCTAAATGATATTCATTTTCTTTGTATTTGCTAAAAACAGATGATATTATATTTTTGCATTCATCATCATTATTATTTTCAGCAATAATTTCACGAACTTCATTACATATTTTAGTAAATTCTGCTTTAGCATTCTCATCATCTTTATAATAAGGATTTTCATTGTTTTCATAAACTTGACGCATTACAAAGTGACAGATTTCATGAATTAAAATTCCAGGTATTTTCAACGCGTTGTTTTCGTTTGATTTCATTGCGCCAATGAAAATCTTTTGACTTATTGGATATGTTGTGCCATTCGATCCTGGACCGGTTTTCAAATCTGCATTTTCCGTCTATAAAAATTGTTCAATGTTTTAAGTAAATTGGGCTTTGTTATAATATTTTTTTATTATTTTGTAAAAGAAAGTGCTAAAAACTAAACTAATATGACCAATAAAGTGCCATCAAAAATTCTAGCCATTTACAGAACATACATACAAACTTATCTAACGTTCCTAGGGAGCTAATCGATCTTATGTTCATGTTGGTTGGGTAGCTGGTATATTAAGGTTTCAACAATAAAAGCATATAAAGACTTCAAGTTGATTAGCATTCAATAGCTTCTATGTTATAGGTAATCCTATTGTTATTCATATTTGAGAACTGTGCATCAAAACCTAATTAAATCAACTTTTCTCTCTAAATTTCTTTTGGTAGCTTGACTGACTTTTGCATAACATTTATTTTAAAATTTGAGAAAATTCTCGATCCTGATCAATTCGTCATAAGAAAATGTGTTAAAATCTTTCGTTATGATGCGGAAGTCAACTTGTACTGTGATCCTTAATATTCATAGAATTCTATTGATTTTTTATTTAAGTTGTCACTATTATGGCCACTTTGTCCATTCTTTCGTCTGATCTCAAAACATTTTTGCAGGAACGATCGAATCGTAAAATGAATTGAATTGAACTAGTTACTAGCTTTTTATACATAAATTTAAAGAAAGAAAAAAAGTACTTACAGTTATACTCTTGAAATCAAAAATAATTTTGAGATTTGTACATTGAGCTGCACAATCAAGTAGATAAGAACATGGTTCAGATCCTCCAATTTTATTAAACCAGTCGTTAATTTGTTTACGATATTCAACTTCCTTAGATCGATCATTAGGCTCGTGAATTAATGAACTTGCCGATAAAATCTGAGAAGACTTCATTCTATCTTTCACTGCTTTTTCTACATTTGTGATTGTTTGTTTTGATTTCACATTTTCATATATTCGTTCCTCATCTGCTGTAAATTCATGAGTATCTTCAGATGGATCAGCTTCGTAGTGATGTGATTTAAGAATGGCTAAGCAATCGTAATTTTTGTATTCAATGGCAGTATATATTGCAGTTTGATTTTCAGAATTGAACATAAATTTTAGATTTGAATGTTCCTTAAGAATATCAACTATGTTCTTTTGTCTATTTGAAATAAAATTATGAATTTCATCTCTTTGACTAATGAGTTTCAGGAGCGGTTCATAATGAATTTTACTGACATCAAGATTTTTTGGAAATGGAAAGTCAAAGTTGCTTATTAGTTTATATAAAATTTCAAACTTATTTTCCTTATAAACTTGTGTAGACACGTCAACGCGACGGTCAAGTGAATGATATTGTATCAAATAAATCCATTTAAAAATTAAATAATTTATGACATCTTCGTTTGGATTTTTTAATGCATGGAAAAAAATTGGAATTATATTTTTAAATGTAATATTTTTACTACAAGCTCTGTTTTCATCCTCAGTAGAGGCATCAATTATAGATAAAAAGTCAATTTTTGAGCCATTGGATGCACATTCTTGTATTATTTTAGACATTTTCCTCTTTGATATATCTAAAGTTGTTATAAATCTCAAAATTAATGAGGAATCCTTTAATTTAAAAACATTTTCGAGTAAATTTTCAAAATTATTTGTCCTCAAAAAATTTAAAATTACTTTGAAGCTTTCATCGTTTTCATGCAATATTTTAAAATTCAAATAATTTGCAGCTTTGAAGTAAATTAATTTCCCAGCGATTTTTTTCGATGTAAGTTGAATAATTATTGGTAAATTAGGTTTAAACTTAACGTTTTGGATTTTTAGTGTTTTTAAAACATTATACATAGAAAGATCATCATCTAGGGCTTTTAATGTCTGTGAATTATCGATGTCAATTATAATAAAGAATAAATTTGGAAAAAATTGCGAATTAAGTGTAGAAAAATGAGAAAAAACTTTGTCATTGTTGAACTCTGATGATATTTTTAAAACTTTTTTATGCTTATTTTTGGCATCATAAGTTTTTATAAAATCGTTTGCATTAATCACAAAGCGTTGATTAAAATTAATTTTATTATTTGAATTTCCCATTTTTAGTCGAGCATAGAAATAAAGAAATAATATTAAAATAAAAATTATTTTTCCCAGATTTGAATTTTTTTGTATTCTATTTTAAAAACTTTTTTCATCGCAGGTTTTTTGTGGGTTTCGCTCAAGTTTCCTCCATTTTTTAACTTTTAGATGACGTAAAGTCTGAAAAAAAAGATAATAAAAAAATTAAACAAAAGAAATTTCCCTGATTGAATTTTTTGTGACAAGTGGGTTTGTGGTGCAAAAACTTTTTTTTATTGTACGTCATTTATGAACAGCCAGAAACACGTGATTTTAAAAGATTTTGAACATGTTTTCCGTTAAAAATTTCTCAGGCGAATATAACAAAGTTATTAATTAATGAATTTAACTAGGACGACTATCTGCTGATGATTTTACAAGATTGTCTTTTAAGCGCATTTTTGAAACTTGATTCTAAATAAATAACACGCTTTGTTAGGCTGTTCTGGAGAAGAAAAACTTTTTAACCAGACATCGAAGAGATATCAGGTTTGTTTTTTAATCTAAGTTCTATCAAATTATTAGCCGGCCAAACAGTTAAAAGTTTTAAAATATAAAATTAAAAATTTTAGGAAGTTTTTTCATATTTTCTTATAAGTTTTGAACCAAGAGTTTGATATTGATTTAAATCAAGCCTAATTAGAACCAGTAAGCTCCAAATCGACATAATATTGAGATTGTTTATTTCAGGAAGCTGATATTGCTCCAGATCTCCGTTCAAATCGCTTGAGATAGGCTGAACATGTGTTCAGACGCTCACAAGATGCCCCGTTACTTAGAATAACAGTTGAATACGTTATGGATGGCTAGAGATCTAGAGGAAGACCAAAGAACTCGTGGATTGAATGTGTTGAAAAGAACGCTAGAGTCCTCAATATCCCGAACTGACAGGAGATCTCGAAGGATAGAGCTGTCTTCAGCATGGCAATGGGTTCACGTGAGCCCCTGCCAAGGAAGTAAGCAAGTTAGTAAGCACCCAAACTTGAATAAATGTTGATTTTTAATGAATGTTCTGTATTTTTCTTGATTTTATGGAGAAATTTCCTGTTTAATCACAAAAATAGCTTCTTTATAGCTGCAACTCAAAAACAGCGCAGAAATGTACTTTTAACCAATGTCTGAACTATGTTTTTAAATAATTTTCTTTTTTAGGAATAATCTGAATTATTATTTGTTATTTAAAAATATAACTTGATAATTTGGACTATTAAAAATAATATTCACACTTTCAATAACTTTATATTATCTTTCTTTACACTTGAATATTTTACTATTTGCATACAGCAAGCCAAACAAAAATGGAACAATTTAATCACTCAATATTTTTATAACAAGAGTCGTAAATTTCACAATTTGTTCAATTAATTAGTAAAAAGCTTAAAAAGCTTTGCATATTATCATACAAAAGTTGATAAGCAGTAACCTCAGAGTCAAATAACAAATGACTCATCAAAAACCAGGGGTTTTATTTGTTGCCATTTGAAGTTAAAAAATTCTTTATTTAATTTATATTTTTAAAATAAAGTTATTTAAATACATTAGTCAAAAAACCAGATCACGCACTTATTGATATAATTGGTCAAATTCCATAGAGCTTTGGATCCCACTTTGAACTATAGGTCTGCTTTTGAATGAAGTGCTGATTGGCGATCTCTCACTTGTTAAAAACTTACATTAGCCTTTTAACACATATAACGTGCGGGTGGCACGGGGAGAGTGCTTAGGGCACCGAATATACTTGTTCCTATTTTTTTTATAGAGAGCTCGAAATCGACTCGAGATTTTCATTGATTTTGTATAGTGAAGTTGACTCCGAGTTGACTCGACTCGATTTCATAAAAAAATTCATCGACTTCGAGCTCTGGTAAAGACATGTTCAATGACACTCTTCATCAATATTTACGCTTTCAATTAAACCATTTCATACAACACAGACCACGGGCGTAGCTAAGAAGGCGGAATTTGAAGGACAAATTTCTTGACATTGCAAGGTTTTTTATGAAAAAATCTTAAAAATCTCCCTCATAAATTTTTAGTTTAGTTTGAAAAACTTTTTCCCGTCCTCTTTAAATTCCTGGCTACGCCTTTGATACACAAAAAGTATTTGTGAATGTGAAAAAAATATAGTAATGATTAAAATATCTACACGTATTAACTCTTGACACCACTTGGTTTAAAAATAGAAATTATATAAAAAGAATTTTCCTTCCTAAATGATTACGTAAAAACTTCTGGGCAAAATTATTATTTTAACCTCAAATAATAATTTTTTAAAGGCTTATTTAATTTTTTTGGAATCACGCATTTTTGAAAAGACAGATTTTTTTTAAAAAATGTCCAATCTTGAAATTAACCACAACTTTTTTAAAAAGATTATTTAAAAAATTCAATATTTACCTGATTACATTTTTAAAATTAGAATATTTTATTTTTTTTTTACTTTTACGAGCTAACCATTTGAAATCTAATTTAAAATAAGCCATTATGTACTAAATAACTTGAGTTATATTCACTTCAAAATTGTTATATGTCAAAAAACATATTTCAGTATAACAATTGAAAAAGAATTTCATAAAATTAGTTCATACGTGATTGTGAAAACGTCAAATAAAATTCAGAATTATAAAATAATTAATTTCGATTGATTCAATGTCAAATATTGTAAGTATAATTCCTAAAATCTACAATTGCATTAATATTTATTTGAGTTGAATATTAAAAGCATCAATTTTATGCTTTTAAAGACGAAAATTAAAAATATAAAAATAATATCGGGACCAATTCCAAGTTGATAAAATAATGTTATAAAAAATTTACTTTGAGCTTTTTATTTTGAAAAAATCTTTTAACGTTATTTTACTATTAATTTTTCGCTTTCTTAACAGATAAATATAAACAAGGATGAACATCCACATGGAAGTCCAAAAATTATATTAGGATTTACTGAAGATGGTCAAGCATTTGTTAAAAATGAGCTTGTGAAACAAATTTTCCAGCATCCTGATGTCATCGACCGTAAAATTGTCACCATTTCCATAATTGGCGCTTACAGAAGAGGAAAGAGTTTCTTCCTAAATTATTGCTTGCGATATTTATATGGTCATGTAAGTATAATGCTAAGTTGTTGTCACACAAATTTGGAATTATGGAATGCAACAGGATCTTTAAAACCAGACTCGGAAATTAGGCGGTATAGCAACAAATCCCGGCTTTAAAATACGACCTAGTTTCTGAGCCTGGCTTTAAATTTTTCTAGAAACTTTTCCACTGAGGTATCGCAAACAAAAGCTCATAAAAGCTCGTGTGCGTAAAGTAAAGGAAGGAAGTCATCCAGATGCTTGTTTATCCAAGAGTTCCTAGCAAAGAAGACACATTATGTGCCAGAGAACCCAAAATTACACCCAAACTATGAACCAAGCTTCATTACTTACTTGCTTCGATGACATTACAGATCAATTGTGTTCCATGACCTCCCTCAGATGCCGCCTTAAACTGGCCTTATCGCTGGTTACTGCTTGCCAATTTCTTATCCCAAATGCCAATGGGTGCCTACAACAATGTAGACCGTTATTTTTTCTAAAATTCAAACCTGTTTCGAAAAAATTCGAAAAATAATTTTTTATAAAAAATTTTGAAATTTTAAAGACCGTTAAATTTATTTATGAACAAAAATCAATTCTTCGACGCAAATTTGTTTTTTGAATGTAACCATCGACAATGAAGCTAAAGTTTTGATCGAAAAGTTACAAAAAATAATATTAAATTTTCAATAGTCTTTGAACAATGCTCAAATGGAATTTCAACCTGACTAAGAACAATATCTGAAAATTTTGTCTTGAATGTGTTACAATCACTTATAGCAGAAATTTCACTTCCGTCGACACTTATGTTGTTTGATTTTAAAAATAACAACCATTTATCTTTGTTAAATGAGTGCTTAGGTACTTTAAAAAGATTTGTAATTGTTTTATTTTTGTTGCAGCTTGCAATTTTGCAGGTTTTACCCATAATTAATGAAAATTAATCAAAATTTTACTGATGTAAACAAATATAATTTTTTGATGAAATATTTTTAACGGAATTTCATTTTTTGAAAAAAATTCAAATTCGAATTTTCAATTTCGAAGAATAAGGACCATTTTCGAAGAATAAGAACCATCGGCACCCATTGGCCCAAATGCAATACTCACGAATAGCACAAGTCGGTTAATCAATAGAAATCTGGCACCAACCCGGTGCGACTCTGGCATGATGCTGGATTTTAATCGAAGCCAGCACCATGCTAAAGTCATGCCAGCTTGGTGCCAGATTTATTTTCCATTAACCGACTTGTGCCATTCGGGACTGTCTCTTCGAAACTAGATTGTTAAAATGGAAAATAGCATCTATAACTTGACTTAATCTTGGATTGAACCTTGACATTTCAGTCGTAAGGTCAACAATCTACGACTTTGGCCACCGATACCATTAAACCTCTCATCTTACAAATCTCGGTGAACTAGACATTGACTTAGAGACTAATAGTTTACTGATCTATATTGAGAAAATACGCTTAAGTCGCCCAGATTTGAAACCCGGACGATTTTTCACTAGTTTCCTATAAATTAAACCTTTTCTTTTCAGTATCCATCAATAAACTTCCCAAAAAATCCTGTATCAAACCCAGCCGCTTGGATGGGAGATGAGGATGAGCCACTGAAAGGATTCTCATGGCGTTCTGGTTCAGATCGTGATACAACAGGCATCGTCATATGGAATGATGTATTCTTATATACAGATCAGAACACTGACGAGAAAATAGCAATAATCGTAATAGACACTCAAGGACTCTTTGATAATCAAGGCTCGCCAATGGAAAATTCAAAAATTTTCGCCATTGGAACATTAATATCTTCAATTCAAATTATGAATTTATCAGGAGTTATCCAAGCGGATCAACTTCAGTATTTACAGTTTGCAACAGCTTTTGCTAAATTTTC